TACAGTATGTGTCAGAAAAGCGAGTGATTATACAGTGCTTCCCACAGATTTAAAAATGTACTTGCAGTGGTAGCCAAATTAAAACACACTAATTACCTGAATCACATAAATAGTTAATTATATACCACAAACAATACATAATGAAATTTTTTACAATAATTTTATTTATTATAAACTGTTATACATTGTTTCTTTTCAGTGGGTTAAAGTAAAAAAAAGACATCCACAATTTCTCTTACTTTTACTCTTATGCTATTCAGGAGCCATGTGCACCCACTAATAGGTAAAATCTGCTTCTCTCTCTTTTAAGTTCAAAGCAAACTCGGATGCCAAAGCATTTTAGATATGTATTAAAAATAGCCTATGTAATATATTAACATAATCAAATTAATAGAATAATCGGCATATGAGAAATAAATGACAGAAAAAGGAATAAAAACAGACAATATCTCCAAAAAATTAAAATAATTACAAGATTTAAAAACCTGTAGATTATTTAAATAAAGCAAATGCGTTAACGATTAACCATTACTAAAGGTGTGCATTCATACAGATGTGACTACTTCAATGTGTACCTTTTGCCGTCATCCATACCACGGCGGCGGCGGTAATTGGTGTGCCAGTAGCTTTTGATCGTTGAGTGGCACTTTAACCACAGATATTCAACTTTGCCTTTTCACAAAACTAAATAGACAGTTCTGTATGTGTACTTTATGTGGTGTAATGTGTTCAATTTAAATATAATTTGGTTTTAGTTTTTTAGTAATAAACATGCTTTTACACTATACTGTATGTTTTAGAAAAGATACATGGTGAGAAGTATAGCCATAGGCTGCAAAAAGAAATATAAGAATTAAGTTCTTTAGCCTTTAAGTTCTTTATCAGTAGGCTATTTATTATTTATTACAGGGTATGTTACAAATATTAGACCAACTGCCACTTCATGTAAAACACTCTCATGCACTCAGAACTAGTGGCAGTTTTGAATTAAATAAATGGGCAAATCCGCACGTAAAGTGAGCCGCATATTATTTATCGTCTGTCCAATTTCTCGGTTCATTTCTCTTTCACTTGCATGCAGAGAGAAAAAAATCTGCTTATTTAAAAAAGTGCATTATGTCCACTAATGTATAATAATAATTAGCTAATATATCCATAATGCCGGGATGCTTGGTACTTTGACTGGATATCTAGGTCAAAAGCAAAGTTGTTAATTGTTGCACGGCATAGGCTAGTCTGTAGTGTGGAAAAATATAATTTACAACCTTGCATGCGTTTCCCAACACCATCGTTAGCCAACTAAGTTGTTTTGTTACAAACAAAGTTCATTGATTTGACGTTTTCCAAAAGTAAGTATAAAATAGTTTAGTTTTTACATATAGTATTACATTAATTGCATAGACGTTAAATAGCAAATTTGAATGACAAAGGATTTTAGATATGTATATAAAATAGCCTATGTAATATATTAACATCAACAAATTTATAAGATAAATAGCTAATGAGAAATAAATGACAGAAAAGTTGATAAAAGCAGACATTATCTCTAAAAGTTATCATAATTGCAAGATTAAAAAGAGTAGATTTTTTAATTAAGGCAAATGCTTTGATTATCTACTAATGGTGTATATATTTTGCAGCCAGTTTAGATGTCATTTCATCCTCTTCGAGTTGGCTGTATAGCCAGTTTTTCTAGGTCGTTTAGATTACATAATATATTATTTAGACTACGTTTTCTCTCGGTATCGTGGCTGTGCGTGCGCTGTCAACTGAATAACAATCAATTAATAACAATAACAAACAATCAACCACGAGGAGATAGCAACAGCTTGATTTGCAGTATTTTCTAACATGTTATTAGCTCAGAATAAAAACAACTCACAAAAATTCATTTAGTTTGTTTTTCTTTCCTTAAATAAAAGATTGGATCGGATTAGCCTATTATGCAGTGTGTAAATATTAGAAATAATAATTAGGCTGAGATACAGATTCCCTCTTCATTCAGAAGTAAAAAAAAATGAAAGCCTTCTTCGTAAGCTTCATAGCCAGAACATTAACTGTCACATGTAGCCTAGGCAACAAATAACAAACCTGAGTGTAATAATTAACATAAATGCCCTTTTCAGTTTTATACAATATGTGTGGGTTTAGACAATATGTGTTTAATAAGGCTATAAAGATTAGCCTATTAGATGAAATGCATGGTGAAATGTGAACTAAACGTCTCTTTTGCTGAAAATTTATTTAATTAATCTAAATCCTTAATATTTTAAAAATCAAACCGTTTTGGCCTATGCAGAGAAAGAGGCGCGCGGCACTAGCATGCAGAGAAAGAAAAAAATCTGCTTATTTAAAAAAGTGCATTATGTGCACTATAATAATGATAATAATTATAATATTTAGCTAATATATCCATAATGGATATCTAGGTCAAAAGTAAAATTGTTACCTGTTGCTTATAGTGTGGAAAACTATTCATGAAATGCTTCTATTTATAATTCTATTACTAATTATTCACTTTTATTTATTAAATGCTTCTCAACGCCTGCATTTCGTTTGTACGACAAAAAAATCTGCTGCAAATAAGCAAAGTTATGCCAATACGCACGCACATTGGATTAACTATAGCAGCCAGCTGTTTTCAAACGTTTCCATTTATTTTTAGGTCCAAAGACAGAAATGGAATATTGTTTGTTTTTTTAATTATTATTTTGTGCTGTATTTGGCTACTGAGCAGCAATAAACAACACTTTAAAACATGAGCAGTTTTATTGTTATTTTCAGATTGGCATGGAGCATGTGGAGAAACAGGGAAACACACGGATGGGTGCATGGATGGATGTCCTTCCAAGAGGAGGCAGGTGGCGGTGGGCATAGACTGTTCGCTAGATGTCTTGTCTGTGGCAGTTATTTACATTGTAGGAAATGGAACCCCAACAGACAGAAAAGGGAGACTCACAAGCGGAATGGTGAATATTTATCTGTTAAACACTAGAGAACAAGAGTTGTCATTGGTATAAATGGTCATTTAGGCCTTGTCTTTGTCAGGTTTTTCTTTTTCAGTTAATGGAGAGAGAGCAGAAGAAGGAGATTCACAAGGGGAACGGTAGAGATATACTTGAAGACCTGGAGCTCAGGAAGCAGGTAGAACTGATTGAACAGACTGAACAATGGAGTTAGAGTCCAAACAAATGTATTAGGAATATTTAAATACTTGATATCTTTCTCTTTGGCAGATTGGTCAAAGGAAACAGGGAAACACACAAATTGGTGCATGGATGGATGTCCTTCCAAGAGGAAGGGGGTGGTGGTGGGCATAGATTGTTAGATGTCTTCTCTGTGGCTGTTATTTACATTGTAGGTAATGGAACCACAACAGATAGAAGAGGGAGACTCACAAGCGGAATGGTGAATATTTATCTGAAGAACACTGGAGAACATTTGGTTTATTGTTGGAAATCAGCCAGCAAGTAGAACTCTGTTAGTCTTGTTTTTGTCTTTTGCAGATTAGACTGGGGCATGTGGAGATATGGGAATCACACCTCAGGAATGACTGGAAATTGATGGTCAGGAATTTGTTGTAAAATTCAGATCAACAGGTGCATGGATGAACGTCCTTCCAAGATACAAGAGTGGTGGTGAGTATGGATGGTTAATGTGGCCATGTCTGTGTCAGGTTTTTCTTTTTCGGATAATGGAGAGGTAGCAGAATAAGGGGACTCACAAGGGGAAAGGTGGAGATATACTTAAAGACCTGGAGTTTAGGAAGCAGGTAGAACTGATTGAACAGACTAAACAATGGAGTTAGTTTCCAAAAAAGTGTGTTAAGAATAATTAAATACTTGATTTCTTCCTCTTTGGCAGATTGGCATGGATCGTGGAGAAACAGGGAAACACACGGATGGATGTCCTTCCAAGAGGAAGGGGATGGTGGTGGGCATAGATTACAGTGAGATATACTTGAAGACCTGGAGCTCAGGAAGCAGGTAGAACTGATTGAACAGACTGAACAATGGAGTAAGAGTCCAAAGAAATGTATTAGGAATATTTAAATACTTGATATCTTTCTCTTTGGCAGATTGGTCAAAGGAAACAGGAAAACACACAAATTGGTGCATGGATGGATGTCCTTCCAAGAGGAAGGGGGTGGTGCTGGGCATAGATTGTTAGATATCTTCCCTATGGCTAATATTTACATTGTAGGTAATGGAACCACAACAGACAGACTCACAAGCGGAATGGTGAATATTTATTTGAAGAAGACTGGAGAACACTTGGTTTATTGCTGGAGATCAGTCAGTCAATAGAGCTCTGTTAGTCTTGTTTTTGTCTTTTGCAGATTAGACTGTGGCATGTGGAGAAATGGAAATCACACCTCAGGAATGACTGGAAATTGATGGTCAGGAATTTGTTTTAAAAATCAGATCAACAGGTGCATGGATGAACGTCCTTCCAAGATACAAGAATGGTGGTTGGTCTAGATTGTTAAATAGGCCTTGTCTGTGTCAGGTTTTTCTTTTTCAGTTAATGGAGAAAGAGCAGAAGAAGGAGATTCACAAGGGGAACGGTAGAGATATACTTGAAGACCTGGAGCTCAGGAAGCAGGTAGAACTGATTGAACAGACTGAACAATGGAGTTAGAGACCAAAGAAATGTATTAGGAATATTTAAATGCTTGATATCTTTCTCTTTGGCAGATTGGCCAAAGGAAACAGGGAAACACACGAATGGGTGCATGGATGGATGTCCTTCCAAGAGGAGGGGGCTGGTGGTGGGCATAGATTACAGTGAGATATATTTGAAGACCTGGAGTTTTGGAAGCAGGTAGAACTGCTTGAACAGCCTGAACAATGAAGTTAGTTACCAAAAAAGTGTGTTAAGAATAATTAAATACTTGATATCTTTCTTTTTGGCAGATTAGCATGGAGCATGTGGAGAAACATGGAAACACATGGATGGGTGCATGGATGGATGTCCTTCCAAGAGGAAGGGGGTGGTGGTGGGCATAGACCGTTCGCTAGATGTCTTGTCTGTGGCAGTTATTTACATTGTAGGTAATGGAACCACAACAGACAGAAGAGGGAGACTCACAAGCGGAATGGTGAATATTTATCTGTTAAACACTAGAGAACAAGAGTTTTGGTTGGTATAAATGGTCAATTAGGCCTTGTCTGTGTCAGGTTTTTCTTTTTCAGGTAATGGAGAGAGAGCAGAAGAAGGACATTTAGAAGGGGAACGGTAGAGATATACTTGAAGACCTGGAGCTCAGGAAGCAGGTAGAACTGATTGAACAGACTGAACAATGGAGTTAGAGTCCAAAGAAGTGTATTAGGAATATTTAAATACTTGATATTTTTCTCTTTGGCAGATTGGCCAAAGGAAACAGGAAAACACACAAATTGATGCATGGATGGATGTCCTTCCAAGAGGAAGGAGGTGGTGGTGGGCATAGATTGTTAGATGTCTTCTCTGTGGCTGTTATTTACATTGTAGGTAATGGAACCACAACAGATAGAAGAGGGAGACTCACAAGCGGAATGGTGAATATTTATTTGAAAAAGACTGGAGAACATTTGGTTTATTGCTGGAGATCAGTCAGCCAATCGAGCTCTGTTAGTCTTGTTTTTGTTTTTTGCAGATTAGACTGGGGCATGTGGAGAAATGGAAATCACACCTCAGGAATGACTGGAAATTGATGGTCAGGAACTTGTTTTAAAAATCAGATCAACAGGTGCATGGATGAACGTCCTTCCAAGATACAAGATTGGTGGTTGGTATAGATTGTTAAATAGGCCTTGTCTGTGTCAGGTTTTTCTTTTTCAGGTAATGGAGATAGAGCAGGCAGAAGAGGAGCCGGTAGGGTTTAGTTGGGGCTGTCTTTTTCTTTTGCAGGTTGAAGTGGAGCAGAAAGAGACTCACAAGGGGAAAGGTGGAGACATACTTGAAGACATGGAGCTCAGGAAGCAGGTACAACTGATCGAACAGGCTGAATAATGGAGTTAGTTTCCAAAAAAGTGAATTAAGAATAATTAAATACTGGATATCTTTCTCTTTGGCAGATTGGCATGGAGCATGTGGAGAAACAGGGAAACACACGGATGGGTGCATGGGTGGATGTCTCTCCAAGTGGAAGGGGGTTGCGGTGGGCATAGATTGTTCGCTAGATGTCTTGTCTGTAGTAGTTACATTGTAGGTAATGGAACCACAACAGACAGAAGAGGGAGACTCACAAGCGGAATGGTGAATATTTGTCTGTTAAACACTAGAGAACAAGAGTTGTCATTGGTATAAATGGTCATTTAGGCCTTGTCTTTGTCAGGTTTTTCTTTTTCAGTTAATGGAGAGAGAGCAGAAGAAGGAGATTCACAAGGGGAACGGTAGAGATATACTTGAAGACCTGGAGCTCAGGAAGCAGGTAGAACTGATTGAACAGAATGAACAATGGAGTTAGAGTCCAAACAAATGTATTAGGAATATTTAAATACTTGATATCTTTCTCTTTGGCAGATTGGTCAAAGGAAACAGGGAAACACACAAATTGGTGCATGGATGGATGTCCTTCCAAGAGGAAGGGGGTGGTGGTGGGCATAGATTGTTAGATGTCTTCTCTGTGGCTGTTATTTACATTGTAGGTAATGGAACCACAACAGATAGAAGAGGGAGACTCACAAGCGGAATGGTGAATATTTATCTGAAGAACACTGGAGAACATTTGGTTTATTGTTGGAGATCAGCCAGCAAGTAGAACTCTGTTAGTCTTGTTTTGTCTTTTGCAGATTAGTATGGGGCATGTGGAGAAATGGGAATCACACCTCAGGAATGACTGGAAATTGATGGTCAGGAATTTGTTGTAAAAATCAGATCAACAGGTGCATGGATGAACGTCCTTCCAAGATACAAGAGTGGTGGTGAGTATGGATGGTTAATGTGGCCATGTCTGTGTCAGGTTTTTCTTTTTCGGATAATGGAGAGGTAGCAGAATAAGGGGACTCACAAGGGGAAAGGTGGAGATATACTTAAAGACCTGGAGTTTAGGAAGCAGGTAGAACTGATTGAACAGACTAAACAATGGAGTTAGTTTCCAAAAAAGTGTGTTAAGAATAATTAAATACTTGATTTCTTCCTCTTTGGCAGATTGGCATGGATCGTGGAGAAACAGGGAAACACACGGATGGGTGCATGGATGGATGTCCTTCCAAGAGGAAGGGGATGGTGGTGGGCATAGATTACAGTGAAATATACTTGAAGACCTGGAGCTCAGGAAGCAGGTAGAACTGATTGAACAGACTGAACAATGGAGTAAGAGTCCAAAGAAATGTATTAGGAATATTTAAATACTTGATATCTTTCTCTTTGGCAGATTGGTCAAAGGAAACAAGGAAACACACAAATTGGTGCATGGATGGATGTCCTTCCAAGAGGAAGGGGGTGGTGGTGGGCATAGATTGTTAGATGTCTTCCCTATGACTAATATTTACATTGTAGGTAATGGAACCACAACAGACAGACTCACAAGCGGAATGGTGAATTTTAATTGAAGAAGACTGGAGAACACTTGGTTTATTGCTGGAGATCAGTCAGTCAATAGAGCTCTGTTAGTCTTGTTTTTGTCTTTTGCAGATTAGACTGTGGCATGTGGAGAAAAGGAAATCACACCTCAGGAATGACTGGAAATTGATGGTCAGGAATTTGTTTTAAAAATCAGATCAACAGGTGCATGGGTGAACGTCCTTCCAAGATACAAGAATGGTGGTTGGTCTAGATTGTTAAATAGGCCTTGTCTGTGTCAGGTTTTTCTTTTTCTGGTAATGGAGATAGAACAGGCAGAAGAGGAGCCGTTAGGGTTTAGTTGGGGCTGTCTTTTTCTTTTGCAGGTTGAAGTGGAGCAGAAGGAGAACTCACAAGAGGAAAGGTGGAGACATACTTGAAGATCTGGAGCTCAGGAAGCAGGTAGAAATGCTAGAACAGATTGAACAATGGATTTAGTTTCCCAAAAAAATGTTTTAACATTAATTAATGATTAATTACATCTTTCTATTGTATTTTGCAGAATGGAATGGACCACATGGAGAAAAAGGGAATCACACACTTCAGCAATGACTGGATGGTCAGCAATTTATTTTTAAAAATCAGACTAACGGGTGAATTGATGGATGTCTTACAAACATACAAGTGTGGTGGTGAGTATGGATGGTTAATGTGGCCATGTCTGTGTCAGGTTTTTCTTTTTCAGATAATGAAGAGGTAGCAGAATAAGGGGACTCACAAGGGAAAAGGTGGAAATACACTTAAAGACCTGGAGCTCAGGAAGCAGGTACAACTGATTGAACAGGCTGAATAATGGAGTTAGTTTCCAAAAAAGTGTATTAAGAATAATTAAATACTTGATATTTTTACCTTTGGCAGATTGGCATGGAGCATGTGGAGAAACAGGGAAACACACGGATGGGTGCATGGGTAGATGTCTCTCCAAGACGAAGAGGGTGGCGGTGGGCATAGATTGTTCGCTAGATGTATTGTCTGTAGTAGTTACATTGTAGGTAATGGAACCACAACAGACAGAAGAGGGAGACTCACAAGCGGAATGGTGAATATTTGTCTGTTAAACACTAGAGAACAAGAGTTGTGGTTGGTATAAATGGTCAATTAGGCCTTGTCTGTGTCAGGTTTTTCTTTTTCAGTTAATAGAGAGAGCAGAAGAAGGAGATTCACAAGGGGAACGGTAGAGATATACTTGAAAACCTGGAGCTCAGGAAGCAGGTAGAACTGATTGAACAGACTGAACAATAGAGTTAGAGTCCAAAGAAATGTATTAGGAATATTTAAATGCTTGATATCTTTCTCTTTGGCAGATTGGCCAAAGAAAAAAGGGAAACACACGAATGGGTGCATGGATGGATGTCCTTCCAAGAGGAAGGGGGTGGTGGTGGGCATAGATTGTTAGATGTCTTCTCTGTGGCTGTTATTTACATTGTAGGTAATGGAACCACAACAGATAGAAGAGGGAGACTCACAAGCGGAATGGTGAATATTTGTCTGTTAAACACTAGAGAACAAGAGTTGTCATTGGTATAAATGGTCATTTAGGCCTTGTCTTTGTCAGGTTTTTCTTTTTCAGTTAATGAAGAGAGAGCAGAAGAAGGAGATTCACAAGGGGAACGGTAGATATATACTTAAAGACCTGAAGCTCAGGAAGCAGGTAGAACTGATTGAACAGACTGAACAATGGAGTTAGAGTCCAAACAAATGTATTAGGAATATTTAAATACTTGATATCTTTCTCTTTGGCAGATTGGTCAAAGGAAACAAGGAAACACACAAATTGGTGCATGGATGGATGTCCTTCCAAGAGGAAGGGGGTGGTGGTGGGCATAGATTGTTAGATGTCTTCTCTGTGGCTGTTATTTACATTGTAGGTAATGGAACCACAACAGATAGAAAAGGGAGACTCACAAGCGGAATGGTGAATATTTATTTGAAGAAGACTGGAGAACATTTGGTTTATTGTTGGAGATCAGTCAGTCAATAGAGCTCTGTTAGTCTTGTTTTTGTCTTTTGCAGATTAGACTGGGACATGTGGAGAAATTGAAATCACACCTCAGGAATGACTGGAAATTGATGGTCAGGAACTCGTTTTAAAAATCAGATCAACAGGTGCATGGATGAAGGTCCTTCCAAGATACAAGAGTGGTGGTTGGTATAGATTGTTAAATAGGCCTTGTCTGTGTCAGGTTTTTCTTTTTCAGGTAATGGAGATAGAGCAGGCAGAAGAGGAGCCGGTAGGGTTTAGTTGGGGCTGTCTTTTTCTTTTGCAGGTTGAAGTGGATCAGAAGGAGAACTCACAAGGGGGGAAAGGTGGAGACATACTTGAAGACATGGAGCTCAGGAAGCAGGTAGAACTGCTAGAATAGATTGAACAATGGATTTAGTTTCCAAAAAAAGTGTATTAACAATAATTAATGACTTGACATCTTTCTATTGTATTTTGCAGATTGGAATGGACCACATGGAGAAAAAGGGAATCACACACCTCAGCAATGACTGGATGGTCAGTATTTTATTTTTAAAAATCAGATTAACGGGTGAATTGATGGATGTCTTACCAACGTACAAGTGTGGTGGTGAGTATGGATGGTTAATGTGGCCATGTCTGTGTCAGGTTTTTCTTTTTCAGATAATGGAGAGGTAGCAGAATAAGGGGACTCACAAGGGGAAAGGTGGAGATATACTTAAAGACCTGGAGTTTTGGAAGCAGGTAGAACTGCTTGAACAGACTGAACAATGAAGTTAGTTTCCAAAAAAAGTGTGTTAAAAATAATTAAATACTTGATATCTTTCTCTTTGGCAGATTGGCATGGAGCATGTGAAGAAACAGGGAAACACACAGATGGGTGCATGGATGAATGTCCTTCCAAGAGGAAGCGGGTGGCGGTGGGCATAGATTGTTCGCTAGATGTCTTGTCTGCGGCAGTTATTTACATTGTAGGTAATGGAACCACAACAGACAGAAGAGGGAGACTCACAAGCGGAATGGGGAATATGTATCTGTTAAACACTAGAGAACAAGAGTTGTGGTTGGTATAAATCGTCAATTAGGCCTTGTCTGTGTCAGGTTTTGGTTTTTCAGGTAATGGAGAGAGAGCAGAAGAAGGAGATTCACAAGGGGAACGGTAGAGATATACTTGAAGACCTGGAGCTCAGGAAGCAGTTAGAACTGATTGAACAGACTGAACAATGAAGTTAGAGTCCAAAGAAATGTATTAGGAATATTTAAATACTTGATATCTTTCTCTTTGGCAGATTGGTCAAAGGAAACAGGGAAACACACAAATTGGTGCATTGATGGATGTCCTTCCAAGAGGAAGGGGGTGGTGGTGGGCATAGATTGTTAGATGTCTTCTCTGTGGCTGTTATTTACATTGTAGGTAATGGAACCACAACATATAGAAGAGGGAGACTCACAAGCGGAATGGTGAATATTTATTTGAAGAACACTGGAGAACACTTTGTTTAATGCTGGAGATCAGTCAGCCAATAGAGCTCTGTTAGTCTTGTTTTTGTCTTTTGCAGATTAGACTGGGGCATGTGGAGAAATGGAAATCACACCTCAGGAATGACTGGAAATTGATGGTCAGGAACTTGTTTTAAAAATCAGATCAACAAGTGCATGGATGAACGTCCTTCCAAGATACAAGATTGGTGGTTGGTATAGATTGTTAAATAGGCCTTGTCTGTGTCAGGTTTTTCTTTTTCAGGTAATGGAGATAGAGCAGGCAGAAGAGGAGCCAGTAGGGCTTAGTTAGGGCTGTCTTTTTCTTTTGCAGGTTGAAGTGGAGCAGAAGGAGACTCAGAAGGGGAAAGGTGGAGACATACTTGAAGACCTGGAGCTCAGGAAGCAGGTAGAACTGCTTGAACAAATTGAACAATGGATTTAGTTTCCAAAAAAAAGTGTATTAACATAAAAATAATGACTTGACATCTTTCTATTGTATTTTGCAGAATGGAATGGACCACATGGAGAAAAAGGGAATCACACACCTCAGCAATGATTGGATGGTCAGCAATTTATTTTTAAAAATCAGATTAACGCGTGAATTGATCAATGTCTTACCAATGTCACGGGTAGAAGAAGGAGTGAACTCAAGTGCAGAACACAGTATTTATTAAGGAGAAAGTCTTTGCAAAGGAACAAAAAAACCCAATCGGGTGAGTGCCGGGGGAGTGCCGTGGAAAACAGTACAGAAACAAACGGGAGACTCGTTCACTGGCAGCCCTGGACACAAATATGAGGTGAGTAACAGACCGTTATACACACACACCAACGACAACAGACTGACAAACATGAAGGGAAATGATGTGCTATAAGTAGGAACAAAGGGATGAGAAACAGGTGGAGCGAATCACTCTGATGACCTGTGAATACTAGAAAAGCAGGTGACTGAAGGTAATCTGTAACATAGAACTGGAGAGAGTGAGAACACAAGGTACGGTGACAGTACCCTCTCCCTCAAGAACGCCCCCTGGCGTTCCCTGAAGACTCACCATGGGTCTGATGAAACTGATCAATGAGAGAGCGGTCCAGAATGTCCCGAGCTGGGATCCAACACCTCTCCTCCGGGCCATACCCCTTCCAGTCTACCAGATATTGATACCCTCTGCCCCTCCTCCTCACGTCCAGCAGCCGGCGCACTGTGTACGTGAGTGTACCCTCAACTAGTCTGGGAGGTGGAGGAACAGAGGTCAAAGGCTGTAGGGGGGAGCGAAAAACGGGCTTAATTTTAGACACATGGAAAACCGGGTGAATGTTTTTAAACTGAGGGCTTAATTTGAGTCGAACTGACACTGGACTGAGGACCTTGACGATGGTGAAAGGTCCAATGAATTTAGGTCCCAATTTACGTGAGGGAAGTCTGAGAGGAATATCCTTAGAGGACAACCAGACTTTCTGACCACACACGTAAAGAGGGGGTACGGAACAGTGGCGATCCGCAGATGCCTTGTTTCTGTCGCCAGTCCGGATAAGGGCTTTCCTGGCAAGCCTTCATGTTTGGAGACATCTCTGAATGAATGCCTGGGCAGAGGGAACAATGGCATCTGGTTCTTGAGAAGGGAATAGAGGGGGTTGGTAGCCTAAGCAGCACTGGAAGGGAGACAAACCCGTAGACGAGACGGGGAAGGAGTTATGCGCATATTCGACCATGGTTAATCTGGAAGACCAAGACGACGGTTCCTCGGACGCAACACAACGCAGGACCCTCTCCAGTTCCTGATTAGCTCGCTCGGCCTGGCCGTTAGTCTGTGGGTGGTACCCTGAAGAAAGGCTAGCGGTCGCCCCCAGCTGTCGGCAGAATTATGCCCAAAATTTTGACACAAATTGGGGACCCCTGTATGAAACCACGTCAACCTGGAGGCCATGAATACGGAAGACGTGGTCCAAGACAATGGCTGCTGTCTCCCTCGCTGAAGGTAATTTGGGGAGGGGTACAAAGTGTGCCGCCTTCAAAATCTGTCCAACACAGTGAGGACTACTGAATTGCCACTGGATGGGGTTAACCCAGTGTCAAAGTCCATCGCTATGTGTGACCAGTTTTGCGAAGGGATGGGCAGTGGCCGGAGAAGCCCTGCTGGGGGTCGATTCGAGCCTTTAGCTACTGCACAGACCGGACAAGCCAATATAAACCGACGAGTGTCCCGCGCCATCGATGGCCACCAGAACCGTTGCTTAATTAACCCCGTGGTGCGATCTGCTCCTGGGTGGCAGGCTAACTCCGACCCCACTGTAAAACCTTGGTCCGGACCGACTCAGGCACGTATAGCAGATTACTGGGACATTTGGTGGGCGTGGCGATCATACAAAGAGCCTTACGGACTACAGACTCTACCTCCCAAGTTACCCCTGCAACCACACGTTCAGGTGGCAGGACAGCAACTGGAAGGGTGGGTCTGGCCTCGCCCTCACCAAGACGTGATAGGGCGTCGGCTTTTCCATTCTTAGATCCCGGGCGATAAGAAATATGAAAATCAAACCGGCCAAAGAATAGTGCCCAACGAGCCTGACGAGAATTGAGACGTTTGGCTGATCTAATGTATTCTAGATTTTTATGGTCGGACCAGACCACAAAAGGAACCCCCGATCTTTCTAACCTGTGACGCCACTCACCCAATGCCAACCTGACAGCCAGTAACTCCCTGTTCCCGATGTCGTAAATTCGTTCCGAAGGTGTTAATCGATGGGAAAAGTAAGCGCAGGGGTGTATTCTGCCGTCCGACGAGGACCGTTGGGATAAAATAGCTCCCACACCTACTTCTGACGCATCCACCTCCACCACAAACTGACGAGATGGGTCTGGATTACTTAAAATAGGTGCAGAAATGAAACATCTCTTTAATTCAGAAAAGGCTGTCTAAGCCTGGGGTGACCACTCAAATCG